CATTGAACAAAAAGAATATGCTAAATATGCATAAGTTCAGTGTTTAGAATTATTTTGCATACATAACTCACTTCATGATTGCTGTTTACTATCTAAATACAAAGATAATATCAATCTCTGACTTTTTACATTTCCTTCAACAACATTACATGAGTCTTTTAACTCCTTCCCCACTCCCCTTTTACCCAGGATAAGATGGCAAGGGAACAAGAGTGGCTAGTTAGGAGAAATGTGTGCTTGGTAAATTATAGTTTTTACAAAATAATAGAATTATATAATAAAACAATAAGATTATATAGAAATTATGAATGGAGTTCTGCTGTTAATTGAACACTCTTCTTGTTGTAAGACATGAACCTGAAGAACCTGTATTATTAATTTTGTGGGTATATGTAGATATACATATATATATTTCCAGTTAGCCTTTTAGGAACATTGCATAGGCAAAATATTGTTTATAAGCAATAAATTACTTTCTAATTTGAGCATTATAGAATGATGGTCAAAAGAAACATTTTTAAATGGAAAAATTTTGTTTTGTTCATGTTGCTATTAAAGCATACATTATACTCTTATCATTTTAGCAGTTTTAATTTATTTCCTTCTAAAGTTTAAAAGCTTTATTAATTAGCATTCATTTAGCTACTTCACCTGAAAAAAATCCCCAACTTTTTAATACTCAACTTTCTTTAAACTAACATCGACATCGTACAAGTTTTTGGAATGCTTTCTTGAAGTCTTCATTAAAGATTGTGTAAATCAATGGATTTATAAGGGAATTGAGATAGCCAAGCCATGTCAAAAAGTTGGACATTTCTTCAGAAATGTTACACTTTTCACATACATTAACAACCAATTCTTTTACAAAAAAAGGAAGCCAACATATTACAAATGCACCCAAGATTAATCCCAGGGTAGTGGCTGCTTTGCGTTCTCTTGTGCCTGAGATCTTTTGTCTTCTCCAGGATTTCTCATGCTTGAATTCAGACCTGTGACTTTTCACTGTGCTGTGAATTTTATCAAAGTCTGTTGATGGATCAGATAAAGACTTTTCTAGCATGTAGGGTGTGGAGACCAGTCTAGTGCTTTTTTCGCCACTCTCCAAAAGGACTTGGCCATTCAGCTCCTCCTTGGCAATCCTACTTGCTTGTCTCTTGTG